GTGGGCGCAATTTTCCAATCTTTCCCCCGGGCGCCAAAACCTCTAGCTACGCAATTGATTCCAAATTAACATCAAGTAAAACAACGTGTCATGATTGTACGGTACTTACGGTGTTAGAAGAATCCGTTCGGACTGCTGTAGGCTTCCAATCAAAGTTATGAACAGATTTCCTTTTTCTTTATCTCCTTTTAAAAATCCAGGATCATCAATAAATACGTTGAATTCCAATGGATAACCTTAAATAGTTGCAAAAATATTGAAGAAATGCAAAAATAGAATAAGTACCGTAATATTTGATATTCAGTCAGGTAAAATCGGCAGTTTTAATCCTGACATTGACTTCACAACAAGGTAATATGGACAGACATGTGGCGATCTTTATGCAAGGCCAAAATAAATAAATAAATTGTTTGTTTGCCCTCCTCCACCCGCCTCTAACTTATTGATAAAAATAGGGGCGGAAAAACAAAAAAACTTTAAAAAAAGGTTTTTTTTTTTTTTTTTTTTTGTATTTTTCATTACAAATTAAACAATTGTGAGGGAATTTATTTTTATATTTTGCCAGATGACCTACAAATTAGTCTAAAGTTGTTGTCTGATGTAAGATAGTAGGGACCTTTCGATTGCACGACGACGTTTGGACGTAGAACGTAATGACGTCACTAAAAGTCACCTGCGCATGCGAGAACGTTAAGGAACCCTCGTTGAGTAGATTCTGGAACGCAATTTGGCGAAATCTACGTATGTAGAGAACGTAGGACGCCAGGTATGACGGTCACGCATGAGTGATTCCGTTCTAGCGTCGTGTCGTCGCACAAATTCAAAGCTCCTTTATTGCCATTGCCATTCTAGGCCTCTGTGGGTTATTTTTATTCCATCTGATGAGGATTAAAAAAAAAAGAAAAGAAAAAAAAAAAAAAAACTTTTTCCACCCACCCCTATATATCATTTTTTTTAAAGAAGGGCAAACAAACAATTTAATTTTTTTGGTTTAATAATACTGTAGAAATGGTAAAAAATATTTAAAAAATGTATCATTTTAAAGGAATTTAGCGTTTTAGTAAAATAGTCATATTCACATAAGAATAGTTAATATCCTTGTAGAGCGCAGTCGTCCAAAGTCAGACGGCCGTTTCAGTACCTTTTCTATAGTGATAAAGCACTGTATAATTTGAGTAAAGTCAGCACTTAAGATTGTGAGAGGTTGTGGAAATCTTACCAATAAGCTCGCCAATTACCATACTACATTCTATTTAATAGATTTTAACTCTGCATCTCCCCTAACTTGATGTCTGTTATTGACAGAAGTCCATCTTACCACAATACTTAATCTGATCTCTTGTGCGCAGAAAATAGATTATATTCTCTTTTGTACCAATAGGGCCATTTGAATGAAAGCCCAGTGGAGCTGTGTCTATCGACGGTCCGAAACACTGACCGTCAATAAAATTCGCGTACCCGTCGTCTTTATGACCAAAAATTGTGCAGTCGTGGGACAAAAACGAACAGTCCGAGTTGATAGATTCAGTAAACAGGTCACATGATCTAAAGTGTTCACACGCAACAAATTGAACTCCTCCTAAAATTGGCAAAAAAAAAAAAAAAAAAATGGAAAAAAAAAAAAAAAAAAAAAAAGAAAGAAAGAAAAGAAACATAACGATAATAAGAATAATATATTGACAGACATCATTTATATCATCAGTTGCACACTCAAGAGGTGTATCATAATAATCACAATACAATAAATAACATTTACATCTTGATAACTGCAAATTCAGGTATGGCCTCAATTAGTGTACTTGAATAACCCGTGAGTGGAGTTAAGTGGTTAAGATGCTTGCATTCCAATTCCAGGGTCCTAGGTTCAATTCCTGTCACTTTTTGCAGGATTGTTTTTCTCCCGACCAAAAACAACTCCACTTGCTAAACTTTATATTGAGATATAGTTTGTGTAAAGCATCGTGTGTGTATATACAGTAAATTGTCTTGTAAAGGGGATTGTCACCTACAAGTAGGACATTGATATATTTGCTACTGATAATCTTTAGGGCATGAGTTGTGTGCCTAAACATTTTTATATAAAAACTATATATATATATATAAAACTTTTAATGATACATGTACATATTTTGTTTAGAGTTGCACATATCGATGATGATATAATTGTAGACTAGTCTGCCACATGTTTTACCTTGATAAATTGCGCCTTCTACGACGATATGGTTTATAAAACCTTTATCGCATCCAGGTTGGTCGTGCCCGCCATTAACGTAATAATCAAAATGAGCGACAGGCATGTATATTCCCATTCCTTAAAAGGAAAAAATGTATAATAATAATAATAATAATAATAATAATAATAATAATAATAATAATAATAATAAT